TTGTGTGGTTGTGGTTTTTTGTAGTGGGGGGGGGGGGGGGGGGGGAAGTTCCTGACTCAACTGGAGATTGAACTTGGGAGCTACTGTAGATCTCAGGTCTACACCCCCCACCCGCTTTTACTGCACAAAATAGAACTATACAGAGTAGCCTGTTTTTTAATTTTGTTGCTACCAAATTTTACCAAATTTTAACAAATCATTACCTAAAAATAAACAGTATCTTTAAAGTTCACAATCCCCTATCCCATTGAAAAGACCCAGTAATTATCAGTAGATGAGGCTGACCATATAAGCTTACATGTTAGCTTCATCAACATTTTGATTGGATAAAAATTATACCATCTCCAGACTAACAGTTTGTCATCAGTTGAACATCAGGCAGAAACATTGTAGATTGTATTCCCTATATGATGCTTTCCCATCAAGCCTTCTCTATCCATCATTCATCCCAATTTTTTTCAAATAGTCTGACTTTCTTTGCCACTCATAACTTTTTAATGATTTCACAGCGGATATCATTGACAATGATCTCCTGTACTTTGGCCATTCATAAGTAGTTATATATCAGACAAGAGTCAGATGATGAGTCAAGCAATGTTTTATCAGAAATTGTTTTACAGACTTGCTCCTGAAAGTAGACAGGGTCTTGCAAGATTAGCAATTGATGGGAAGCTTGCTATCTCCAAATGAATAAACTGACATGCTACCTACTAGCAGTACTATATTTAGCACCACCCACTCATAAATAGGGATATAATGTTTGGTAGACCTTTGTATGGCAAACAAGAAAAAAAAAAGGCAGAGAATTTTAACAGATTTCACTTAAAGGGATAGTAACTCTTCATATAAGATCTATATTTCACAGTAAAAACATTGAGTAACTCAAAGAAATATAATATATTCTGTTTTACCACAAAAACGGCAGTTATAGCTATTATTCTGATATCTGAGCTTGTCTTTAGACCACATGACCTCCACTGATGGCTATACTCTGTTAAAATCTCTTAAGAGATTTTAACGAAAAACCAAACTTTTTAGAAAAAAAAAAAAAAAAAAACAGGGACTACCTTTGAATGTAAAAATGGATTCATTAACCATTTGTAAGTATGGGAAAATTGTTGTTTACTCCAGGAAAATTCATTTTTTGGCCGAAACGAAGAATTATTATCCTTTTAATCACCAAGGTTCATGTACTAGTATATCCTAAATTAAAAGAAACTGTTGAGGGACTCGCAATCCATTTTCAAGTTTTAAATTTCTCTTTACTGTGAAATTTTGTAGTCTCCACTGCCACTAAATTTTGAAAAAAAAAAAAAGAAAAATGAGCTTAAATATTGTAATTTTGTCAAAAGTTTTTTTTTGAACTTATCTTAGTAATCAACCCTGCCTCTATTTCTGCTTGTTTCAGGTTTCAAACTTTTTAAAAATTTATCCCCCCCCCCCAAAAAAAAATTCTTAAAAAAATTTCTTTAAAAAAATCACACCAATAGTCCCTCCTTGAAATTAGAACTTTGACTAGCTGAATCATAGCTTTAATCTGCGCCAAATGGCACCATTCGCCCTCTAAAATACCAAAATTTCTTCAGGCCCCTTCAGCAGGCCTCCAACCCCACACCAAGGGGGGGGGGGGGGGGGGGGGGCCAAGGGTTGGCTTTGCATCAGTGGACCCCCCTTCAAATAAACCTGGATTATAATCCTGAACTTTCTCAAGGGGGTTGAACTCTTGAGACGGACTGTGCCAAATATATTGATGATTTTGGTATTTTGTCTCTTAGAAGTAGTAGTAGTAGTTTAATCTCCTTGAATGTGTAGCAACCTAAACATGAAAAAAGTAATGCACAATCTAAAAGCATAAACATACACAGAGCTTATTACCTGGTGCTGCTGATAAATAAGTTATATATGTAGGTAATGAGAATATGCTCTGTACAAAAATCTACAACAAACTCCAAGCAGGGTCGGATCCAGAGCTATTTTCTGACAGTCTTCTTGTTTATTTTTGTTGATCCATCCTCCAAATTTGACCGTCTTCCAACAGAAAAATTAGATACCTGTTAATGTAAACTTGAAAATCTGACTGTCTTCTGGAAGACCCAGAAGATGGCCTAAATCCGCCCCTGCCAAGGGTCCTTCTCTTACACACACAGTACTAGTAACTATAATGTGTAAATGCTGACCTACCGGCACCCACATCTTCACTTGTCTCCACCCTGACAGAACAACTTCAGCCCCCTCTACATACAGAGGAGTCTTTGACTCCTATCTTCTGACTGTTTGAAAAGAGTTTCTTTTCTAAACCTGTTTTATCCCCTACATATGCTATATATAAATACAACAACTACTGTTGCATGAATTATGAATAACGTATGATTTTCCACGCTATCCACCTACGACATTTTTCTACTGATCATTGATTTTGATATTGCCTTAGGTGTCTGAAAATGGGTGGCAATTATTAATATCATACTGCTAGCAGGTCAAAGAACAGCCCTTTAACCTAGCTGTACCCCAGTAGTTTGTCATCCACAACACCTGAATACCATCTCTCTCTCTCTCTCTCTTTATATATATAGAAAACTTAGTTTTTTTTTTAAAAAAGAATGCCTTAAATGCTTTGGAAACTATAACACATTAGTTTATATATATATATATATATAAACTAATGTGTTATAGTTTCCAAAGCATTTAAGGTAAATTCTTTTTTTAAAAAAAACTAAGTTTTCTAAGTTGAGTTTGGTCTATATGAGAAAGTATGAGTTTGTGTGTAACAATAGATGGCAAAGCTTGGAGAAAAAAATTAGCATGACTACTGGGTATATATGTACACTTCACTGGACCATATGATTCCCCTAGCTTTGGAAGTAGACAAAACCAAAATAATTTTTATCCATATCTCCTACCTATTATTATCATAATTTTTTCTCCAAATTATAAATATTGCCTTCTTCTTCTATTTTACATTCTTTATCTCTGTAAAAAAAAAAAAAAAAAAAAAAAACTGGGTCCGCCAGTGCATAAGGACAATATATCACAAATACTTAGTCATGCTTCTGGGACTGGTGGCTTACAACAAGGGACCAATACACATACTGTAGTGGCTTCAAGGTTTTAGAGGGACCATGCTGCACTCAGCCAATTAAACCACTGGTTAATTAATCTGGTACTTTGGGGACACATTTCACTGGTATCCTTAATGGGAGGAGTGAACCCCAGACTACTAATTTCAAAATTATTAGGAGGCCTGCTTCCAGCAAAGAATATAGATTGATTCAACTTTGTATGGTCCATCTCAGTTGGCAGTGCTAAATCATGTCATAGAACTCATTTACAATTAGGTCATCATGGAGAAGGAATCTGATCCTTCTGTTGTCCACCCCATGTCCACAACTTTAGTGACAAAGCTCAGTTACAAGTCCTGAATAGACGGTACTCCCTGTGAGCACATTCAGAACAAATGATCCCTGGACTAACTGATCCATGGACTAAATATGGCTGATCCCACTTAAAACCAAACCACCTAATCCCCTGAAGGTCTCCCCACCTCCACACCTCCTTGCATTCAACGAGAGTCCCTGAAGAGCTGTACCTGTTTTCGTAGACAGATATTTTCAACGGGAATGAAAACTAATAAGTTAGGAACAGCCATCTTCACTGGAAACAGGTCTTTAATATTTGCACATGAGAATAGCATGATGCATCTGCAGGCCTTGTGATAAAGTAAATTAACGGTGAAGAGCAGTAATAGTCACCAGGGAGGAGAAAGATACTGTTTGTGCTGCTGAACTACCACTGTTTGATGATACCGAAACACATTAGAGGTTTTAAGAGCCAACAATTATCTTCATGTGAATCACTCTTTTACCTTGGTTAGTGAAAGACAAAATCATAAATCATATCTCTCAATATCTGTAATGTGTATAGGGTTTCATGATCATGAGTTAATTCATTTCATTTCAATAAATTCAAATAAATTGCCTTTTCTCTTGTATGCCAATTAAGCATTGATGTTGTTTAAAATTATTCATATTTTGCCTTCAAGAACCTTATGATTTTTTTGTAGTTAAAACTGGCTTATTGGCAACTTTCAAAAAAAAAAAATTTTTTTTATAGCAAAAGTCTATTACACTTGGCATTTGGTAAATATTTCTTGGCATGACTAATTAAACATTACACCTCAGGGAACAGAAAAAGAGCCAGCAAAGTCACTTTTACTTCAAAACAAATGCAAGTGGAAGTGTGTAACACTGGAAGCTAGTTCAGCAAAAACTCTGAAAAACTGAGTTCTGGGTCTTACCTGCTAGAATTGCCTGCAGTCACCATTCCAGCCAAGATTTCCATGAATTTACAGCACCACCTGGAAAATTCTCCATGAATTCTTGAGAGATCTTTCAACAGTCCAATACCAGTCTGCGTTCTTGGAAGTTTGTCCTGTTGCCCTTTGACAACTCTGAAATGCAAAAGAATATTTACCAACATTTATTGGAAAATAATGGCACGGTGCACGATAAGTTGATTTTAAAAGCAAACACTAGCTGCACATTACACCTTTATTTAGCAATAATTTTCCCTTAGCCAAAACCACTGAGAAAATAACTACATAGTACAAGTACAATATCTACAAACACAGGTCTGTAGCCAGCAATTTCAAAAGGGGGGGGGGGGATATTTTTTCATTGAAAGAAATGGCACAGAACTTAAATCAAATTTTGATTTAGAGTTAACATTTTCTAGCCATAAGGGCAGTTCTTTGTAAGCCTTAAACACCCCCTGCCTAAGGGCCTAAATCCTTTTCCAAATTTTATATTAACTTGTTTCTAATATCTACCTCTTGAGTGAAATTTACAAGATAACATTGTTATTGCTTGAAACTGCTAATGCACAACTCAAAAATGGGTCTACCAGTACCTTGGTGATATTGACAAGTAGAAGTGTCATCATTTCTAGTCAAGTCAATTTTATTTCCCACTGGGATATATTCTTATACGTTTTAAGCAATGATGCACAAATTATTGTGAAAAACATGTATTAGACATCAAGGCTATGAACAAATTACCATGGAAATCGAAATTGCCAAGAGATCAAACATGCACATCCTGAGAAGAAATGAGATGACGACATGATCAAGGTCTGGTTTAATATCAAAACAAATGACAGTCGACTCAGAAAAGAATTATACCATCCACTTGCAATCACTTCACATGTTAAAAAAGAAATTTGCCAAATTACCAGCTGTCCAATCAGATATAAGGTTCAAGATTAATTGTAGGATTCATGTAACTTTAACTTCCACATAAAAATAAATGCTACAATGTATCCTTAGCATTCACTTTTCTTTTTGATAAATGCCCTTGACAATTTCAATATGAAATTAAAGGTATTTAATAATACGTACTTGCTTGTCTATAATTGATTTTGAGAGAGAGAGAGAGAGAGAGAGAGAGAGAGAGAGAGAGAGCTATTTTCCAAGCATTAAAAAAGTTAAGTACTGTATATAACAGTTCATTTTCATTTCATTTCATTTCATTCAGTATCATTTTTAAATTAAAATGCCTAAACTAAGGATGTGGACAATGGTGTACTAATACCCACCCCATACAAGTAGTCACTCACAAGGACTAAGTGAGGCCTGTCACTCATGATTAGGTAGATATTATAATAATTGTATGTTAAATACCTAAATATGATACCCCCAGCAGCATTTGCTATGCAATCTGGTTATCCTAAATAATGGAATTATGGTAACCTTGAACCATCCAACTTATTAGAAATAACCTGGTACAATGTATTAGGATTCTTTTTTGAAATACTCACATCCATTTATGAGTTTACTGGTAAGTTTATATACTGACATTAGCGCAAATGAAAAGGTAGCAACTAAAATTATTAAAATCACGAACAGAATTATATCAATAAACTTTTATAGTGCCGAAGATGTTAAAATGTACACCCTTCTCATGTTACTCCAGAGTTACATGTGTACTCATATTTTGCCAACAGCCAGTCATTAAAATACTTCTTGTGACAATTGGATTAGTAACTGTATTCCCTACTTACGATATCTATTGATTGCTTCGCTCATTTTCCTCTCTGTAAGGGCCTACGTCTTGGCTATAAAGTTAAACGGTTTTAACACCTGACTTACCAGAAATCTGTTGTTGGTTGTAAACATTCACAAAAACACAAGTTGCGTGGTTAACTAGTTACAAAAGTAATGTCCCAAGATTTCAGCTGCCAACTCAGTGTGCACTGGTTTGAAATGATTAAGACAAGCACGATTTCCATTGCTTGTGGGGGGAAAATGCAGCGAGCAACTCTGGTGACCTTGAAGGAGATGCTGAGCTCATAGTTCAACATTGGCTTGCAAATGTAACAGTACAGCAAAATTAAATCAAAATGTGGAAATCACTTGATTTTTTACTTTACTTAAATCTCTCAATACAGTCTTTTTTTTTGACAGATTAACAGGAGTGGGCTTAAAATAAGAAATGATTCAGAAATAAAACTCCTTAACAACATAGAACATGGGTACAAGTCCAAACTTCCTCAATCCAGTCTTGAAATGATTTTAATCAGCCTATTCTTGTTCAGGACATGCTTTATAACTAGTAATTCCATTTCAAGTCTTCTTCAGTGGCTACCGGCACAATGCACTCTGTAAATCTGTTATTTTATGTTTTATGTTTGCTGCAGCAACTTCAAGAAATTTCAATAAGGCCACACTTTTTTATTTTTATGGATGACATCCTCTGGGGACCCCAAAATCGGTGCGAGCGGGTGAAAAAAAAAAAACAGTCCAAAAA